CCGTTTCCCCGTAGGGCGGGGGGCCCGGCAGTTATCGGCAGGAACGGGTCTGCTGCGGTCCCGGGCACGGGTAGGAGGACGGCGGCCGCGTCTCCTGGCGCGGGACGTGAGGGAGGCCGGAGCTTCGCCTGCCGTCGGCTTTGAGCAGCGAATGCTGACAGAGCACCCGAGGGGGACCGATGGCAAAACCACAGAATGCAGAGATTTAGTAACTTCTGTAATCTTCAGTTACAGTACCTCAGCACCTCGCTGAAAGTGTGTGTGCTGGTTTTACTACGAAATTTCTTAAAGGTCTTCCATGCTATTTGCTGAAATCCCATAGGTGACTGTGCGTCACCAAAGAAGATATCAAGACAGAGGTGTTCATGCGTCAGTATATGTCTTATCTCCCAAACCTTTCCAGACTGTAGTTAATAAAAATTTCTGATTTCATATATGGCCTTTGGATCTCTGTCCTCATTCACTCAGTTCTCCCACCATCTTATATGAGTTACTGCATAAACCGGGGAGGTAGGGGGGCTTCGGACAAAGCCATAAAAACTTTGCGTTGCATGGCGTGGTTTCAGTGATAAAATGTCCCCAGATTTGCTGCTGAAAGATTTCTTGGAGAATTCGGTGTCCACGTAGTGTATAACTTCCATCTCATTCCATACTTCCTTCAGCTTGAACAACTGACACACTGACAAAAACAAGGCAAACCATTTTGAACTTCAATTTCCCAAAATGTTGACTACCAGGAGAAAGTAAAAGACCAATGTGGTGGAGAAGTGACTTTCACATTTTTCCATTCGCTGTTTTAATGAGCAGTTCTCCACAGCAGTGAAACAGTTTGCACAGGACCATGAAACAAACAGTTGCTCAACTCTGATGAGAGTGTAACTAATATTTTTTTTTTTTGTGATCTTGGCTCTTTCACACTGACGAGGTCAGTCATCGTGGGCTTTATTCAGGTACAGATAAGTGCCCGAGGCGTGTTTGAACAGTGCGTCCTGGAGAGCAGCGAGCAAGTCCTGGCAATGCGCGCCCACGGCCTTTGTGCCTGCTGTGTCCATAGGAACTCCAGTACTCACCGGCTGGGCGCAGACACTGGGCGGGGTTTTTTTATGTGTGATGTGGAAAGCAAACCCTGGACCGCCTGCAGACAATTTTTAAGGAGCTCATGAAAGTAAAGCAGAAAAGCAAACTTCTTGTCACTAGGTTTATATTCACTATAAGGTGGCCTGGCCCCTCGCTGAAAAAAAATCTAGGGAGTAGTACACTTCAGACTTTGAAAAAGCACCAAAAGCTGTTAAGGCCCCATTTTCTTGTTTGACTCAAATCTGAGTTGATGGTCAAATTGCCCGTTTCTAAGGAGATTATCAGTTTCCTTATTTTCACATACATTAAATGATCTCCTGTACAAAGGTTTCATGGTGCAATTTACTCCACCTTCCAGGAACTGATTTACAGTAAATCCAAGGTGAGTAATCCAAGGTCCAGAGTCAAAAATGCAAAAGTAAATTGAAACGTGTGTGAGGTATAGTCGTTGTTCCCGGACTCAGATAAGTGTGTGTATATATTTTTTTTGACATTCAAGATTGAGACCCCAAGGTTTACAACATTCACACAGGGGAAAAAAGCCCTTGAGATAAGGTGCCCGTGGGGCAGGCGTTGCTGCTGCAGATGGGTCCTGCGAGGGCGATGTTCGCCTCTGGCTCTGACCGTACCTGTCTTGGTGTACCGGGACCCAGTGTCTCATTTCCTATGCTCCTGTCCCTCCTGCTTGCTTTGTACAGACCTAACAGTAGCTATCAGCTTAATATACACCACTTTGTAAAGAGAAGTCATCTGGGTGCGTGTAGAGCTTTTTAAGTTGAAAGCAGTTATGTGAGCTGTAAATCATACCTCTCCCCACCCTGCCACGTGAAGACCCAGGCCCTGCGCTCAGAGAAGGATGCGTGGCTGGGAGGTAAAGCCAGAGCAGCTGTCATTTGCACACCCGGACGTGCCTGTACCCCTCCCAGCAGTTCCTGCGTGTTGATCATCAGCCCGTGTATTGTGTCCGAGTTAGACAGCGGGGTGGAGGGCTTCTGAACTGGTGGTCAGCTATAATTGAAACACACCAACCTGGATATGATTTCTTTCATTTTTTCTTACTTGGGTACTCTTATTGGGAATCACACAAAGCACAGATGATGTATGACCAAATGTAGGGAGTTTCGCGGTATCAGTATGCCAATAAGCAGTCTTAAAAAAAAGGAAGACTGCCAAAAGCTGGTATAAATCGCTTTAATTAAAATCTTCAAATATAAAAGTCACAAGCATTGGAATAAACAAAACTATTAGAAAAGTTCTAAAAAGAAGCTACCAGGCAAATAATAACTTTGATGTCTTAGTTGTAACTTACATTATTAGTATAATCATAATATATTATTACCTTTATGTTGACTGTATGTAAGACTTCCCACTGCATTTTACTCTCTCTTTACTTCTTGTATTGAACTTTGACAATGTAAACAAACAGCCTTCCTTATTCTCATTTCTGATCTATATTACCCCCTGATACATAACCCTTCACAGAATGCATCTGCGCTGTGGATGCAAACACTCCTTTGACACACTGAACTTAAATATAACTTTTTATTGTGCAATTTTTAATCACAGCTTCAGAAGTTTTTAAAGCTGTGTCATTAAAAAATGTCCCCTCCCCCCCTGCCCTGCGTTGAAACCCCATGTAGCTGGTAGCATCCTTTTAAAGCTTAAAAAGGGAAATACAGTGGTGTGGTGTTGTTTTCCCCTGCTGTGCTCAAAATATCATAAGGCGTTGACAGTGGCATGGGTTATATATCTTCAAGAAAAGTAGATGCAAACAAACATGTGCGGGAGACCACAGATATTCTCCAAGGTGTTTTGCTACCCTGCAGCCCGGCAGCCCGCATGCCAGAGGAAAGTGGCCGGTGGCACACCGAACTGCAGCAGGGTGCGCATGGGGAAGGCATGGCCGGGGAGAAAAGCCACTGCTGACACAGATTTCTGGCCAAAATGGCTGTTTCCCCAGTGGGAGGGATGTCAGCCTGGCCGGGCAGGTTTGTCCCCAGGATGCTCTAAGGCCACTGAAGTCCCTCTGATGGTTGAGGGGTGTGTGGTTTGCTCAGTCTCTTTACTCTCCTGTTTCCTCAAGAACAGAAGAGACCTGAGCGAGTTAGGGAGCGTAAAGCAGAGCTTCTCCTGCAGATAGGTTCAGGGAAGTCCTTTCCAGCTTAACCACCTGCGGGGTGGTGAAGGTTGAGTCGTGAGCCCTTGCCGTACAGCCCACTGGCCACGGAGGGTTTGCCGGGGCACCTGTGGGTTCCTCTCCTTTCCTCCCGGGGATGAAGTGCGTGATGACAGAGGTAGACCACCTTGGCAGGAAAAACCTGCATTTTGTGTGTCAAAAACTCGCCTTTGGAAAGCATGTGGCCACAGCTCCATCTTGTGACTGAACTCTCCTAGCTTGGGAAAAACGTCCGGTGCTACCCCAAATCCCATGAAGGACCTGGTTTCTTGGCAAGGCGTTTTCCCCTGTAGGCACCCCAACCTGAGTTTGCTTTGCGTGTCCCCACCTTCCACCCCGAGATGCCCTCAGCAACCGCAACCCCTCCTTGGGTTTCCCCACACAGTGCAGGCAAAATCACAGCTGTACAGCTAAAATAAAACACCTGCTCATCCTTCCTGAAGGCAAGCTTTTGAAGGAACTGCTTTAAGAGCTGTGCTTGCAGAAATTAGAAGGAGAGGGGAGGTTGCAGTTCCTGGCTGGCAATGCCCCCAGTGCAGCGTGAGAAGCTGATGCAGCTCCGCGCGTGGCATGGAGAAGGGCTCCAGGCTCAAGCACAGCAACCCAGGCTGGACTGAGAGCAAAACCAGCCCCTGCCTGGGCTAGCTCTACCTGGATAATTCTCCCGGGAGCTTAATGAGCATCTTTCACGTACCCAGCGGGACCTCATGTCTTCCCCAGCTGCCAGATCATACCAGTGCCACCACATTTGCATCCCTTGCCAGAATTAAATCTCATGGTAGAAACGTGAATTTCTAGGATTAAACTTCCCTACTAGCCAAGTGCTTTACATTTATCCCGCACGTGTGTATTAACCATTTAAATGCAAGCAATAGCTTTGGCGTTTTTGATAACATAAAAGCCGTAAGAGAAGGCTGGAAGGCCAAGTACACTGCCGGGACCAAGGGGTTTTTCGATAAGCTCTGGCAGCATTTTGTCATCCACCATCCGTAGCAC